ATATATATATATATATATATATATATATATATATATATATATGAGCAGCTAGTTCTATAAAAACTATTAATTAAAAATAACAGTGAACCTTACTATGTAACCAATAAGGAAGCTATATAATAACTATTTCCATAAACAATCCATTAATTATAGATTTTCAAGAAAGAGGGCATCTCTTCTCCACACTTTAACCCACCCCTCCGCCCCTATAAATATAGGATGTGTTAAACAACACTGCAATGCCGTTTTCCTACATCCATAAAGTATATGCTATACATCATGTATATATATATATATATATATATATATATATATATATATATATATATATAAATTTATATATAACATATTTATATATATATATATATATTTATCAAAATTTTTTTTGAACAATTTTCCCCCCCCCCCCCCCCCCCCCCCCCCCCCCCCCTGAGTTCCATGGTCCCTGAAACAATGTGCCGGCCTCACTCCCCCCTCCACAGACCTGACGGATGCTCATTGCTTTCTGGTTACAAAAGGTAATGTAATCAGCCACCTCACATCATCAAACACAATTAGTTTAAGCGAACGCTAAAAGCCTAAACACTCACAATGTCGTGGTGTCATTAAAAAAGTCGTCATTTCCTAAAATTCAATACCGTACACTCGAAAATAAGTGTCATGTGAAAAATGTAATACCGCATATATGACAGTAAACGCTCCACTGTGTAATTCTATTACTACAAACAACCGACAGCCTCGCGTTAACACGGAATCACCATTTGAGGAAATAATATCATTTAGAGACTCTCAGACGCGCCAATGTTGAGTCGTGCATGGGGACAAGTTCACATGGTTGCCCCTTTTCCATCGACTTAGGTCATTTCTCCTCCCATTTGCTTTATCCACTTCAATATCGGCACGCTCCAATGTATGACTTTGCGCCTTCATCTCGGCTGTTCTAATCTGGCTTTTGACTTCTGTGTCCTTTGCTTAAAGTTCATTTTTATTTGTCCGTGTTTCTTTTCGGTTCGTTTTTCACTTTCGCCTGTTAAAAGGCAAATACTTCTTATTTTATTGCATCAGTTCAAGCTCCTTTCAGTAGTTAATTCTCTTCTTCGATAATTTTTGATCTCCAAACCATTCAATAGTTCGTTGTTGCATTCATTTTGCCCCTTGATTCATCGAGCCCTTTATTCATTCATTCATTTATTCATTCATTCATTCATTCATTCATTCATTCATTCATTCATTCATTCATTCATTCATTCATTCATTCATTCATTCATTTATTCATTCAACCGTTCTATTCATTTTTGCTTTGCGTATTATGCCTTTTTATGTATATAATTATTCACTAATTATTTAGAGGAGTGAGCGTATTATGATGTAAAGGAACCGGGAAGAGAGACAGACTGAGGCGAGAGCTTGGAGTTCATTCATTACACTCCTAAGTCAGCATATGGGCCCTACAGAAACTCCCAAATAAGCTGACGGCACGAACTCCGCATTACTGACGACCCCAATGTGATATAGGGAAGAATCATCATGCAGTCGAACTTCAATATTGGTCATTAATCCGTTTCTGGATGAGGAGAAATACCAAACGTGTAATCCTCATAAGAATATAAAAGTAGGCTTAAGGCTTTAATGATGCACATTCTCCATTTCTTGACCGGCAGTCCTAAAGTTCGGTCACCCGGCTGCTGAGAGTGGTTTTTAATGCCATATCGTGAGCTGCAGATTTCGAATGTTTTTTTTCTTCCTCCTCCCAACTGTGCCCGCAACGTGTTGTTGATTAAAGAAAATGGCTACTTCTACGTACAGAATGGAGTGTACATTTTTGCTAGTGCAATGCCAGGTTTCGTGACTGGCTGTTCGCATCAGCAGTGAGCTTCAATTCTAGAGTGCGTCCGTTGGTGTGGGGGTATCTGAAAGCTACTTTACTGATTTTCACTTTTTCCCTACCAGCTTCATGGTATTTGCTGGGACTGACAGGTTTTCGCTAGTTTTCAAAACGGACAATGAGGAACAAGCTGTGTGATTTCCACTGGTACATAAACAGAGCATTTGTGGGGCCAAACGTCTACAGTAATGTTGGAACCTTGACTTCCGACCTTTTTTATCCCCCCACCCCCCTTTAATTTTTACTGATCACAGACTGGATAATGCAGACAGCGAAAATTACTACCACATATAGAAGTAAATGGATTCCGTGGTAGAACAGTTTGAAAATCTGGACTTAAACAATAGGAACACAAACAATACGCAGCACACATTATGGTCATAATTATTTTGCTCTATTTCAAGAAGAGATTGCCTGTAAAAAAGCATAAAACTGAATCATTTCAACTGAAACACACAAACCAGATTGTCTTTTATTGCCCTGGACAGATCACTAGGAAGGACTGGGTATTACACATCTGATCCTGCAAATCTGGGCTCTTCCACCTTCTCGTCCTCTATCTCCTCTATCTCCTCCTTCTTCTTCTTCTTCTTCTTCTTCTTCTTCTTCTTCTTCTTCTTCTTCTTCTTCTTCTTCTTCTTCTTCTTCTTCTTCTTCTTCTTCTTCTTCTTCTTCTTCTTCTTCTTCTTCTTCTTCTTCTTCTTCTTCTTCTTCTTCTTCTTCTTCTTCTTCTTCTTCTTCTTCTTCTTCTTCTTCTTCTTCTTCTTCTTCTTCTTCTTTCTTCGTTTTTTTTCTTTTCTTTCTCTTCTTGTTTTCTTTCTCTTCTTCTTCTTCTTCTTCTTCTTCTTCTTCTTCTTCTTCTTCTTCTTCTTCTTCTTCTTCTTCTTCTTCTTCTTCTTCTTCTTCTTCTTCTTCTTCTTCTTCTTCTTCTTCTTCTTCTTCTTCTTCTTCTTCTTCTTCTTCTTCTTCTTTTTCTTCTTCCCTATTATTATCATCATCATGGCCATCGTCGTCGTTATTACCATTATTATCCTCATCACCATCATTCTAATTCTAATTCTGAGCCCTTTAGGTTCACTGCAGATATTACCAGACTACATCCACGACTGACTGGATTTCTCTTTTCCAGCTGGTAACTCAAAGTTTTTGTATGTCTACATGAATGTATCACTCCATCGTATTCTTGGTCAGCCTCGTCGTCTACACCCCTCCATCGGCAGGTGATGTCTCTCTGTCAGCCGCCATAGGCTCTATATCCCCCCATTGTTTGAGTCTCGCTCAAGAGATGATTTTAAGGACAGCAATACAGAAGGCGAACGATGAACAAGCAAGCGTCTTGTGATCTAGAACTAGCTGAGCATATTGCCCTTAATTTCCATGCGTGAAATTAAATGCAAGATCCGTACACTGTCTCAGCCCGCTGTTTATCCACCACCTGATGTCAGCCTCCCTGTTGTATAGTTGTATGCCTCTTGCTCGCTCACTTTGCTTCAACCTTTACATCCAGTATATTATATACAGCAGAACAGATCGTTTGGACATGCGTAAAGACTACCACCAGATAGTGCACCCCAGATAGCCCTATCACTTTGACATAATGGAAACAATACTGGAGGTCGACCAATCAAGCTATGGATAAATGGATTAAAGTGGGATGAATGTAACACGTACCAAGGCTCGCAAACGATACCCTGTCAAAAGCTGACGCTAAAATACGAACAGGACTAGAGCAGAGAAGAAGAAGAAAAAGAAGAAGAAGAAGAAGAAAAAGAAGAAGAAGAAGAAGAAGAAGAAGAAGAAGAAGAAGAAGAAGAAGAAGAAGAAGAAGAAGAAGAAGAAGAAGAAGAAGAAGAAGAAGAAGAAGAAGAAGAAGAAGAAGAAGAAGAGAAGAAGAAAAAGAAGAAGAAAGAAGAAGAAGAAGAAGAAGAAGAAGAAGAAGAAGAAGAAGAAAAGAAGAAAAAGAAGAAAAAGAGAAGAAGAAGAAGAAGAAGAAGAAGAAGAAGAAGAAGAAGAAGAAGAAGAAGAAAAAAGAAGAAGAAGAAGAAGAAGAAGAAGAAGAAGAAGAAGAAGAAGAAGAAGAAGAACTAACATCTGTTTCATAGAGTGTACGACTAAGACAAGAACTAACATATGTTTTATAGAGTGTACGACTAAGACAAGAACTAACATCTGTTTGATAGAGTGTACGACTAAGACAAGAACTAACATCTGTTTGATAGAGTGTACGACTAAGACAAGATAAAGTGTACGACTAAGACAAGATGGAGTGTACGACTAAGACAAGATAGAGTGTACGGCTAAGACAAGATAGAGTGTTCAACTAAGACAAGACGGAGTGTACGACTAAGACAAGATAGAGTGTACGACTAAGACAAGACAGAGTGTACGACTAAGACAAGATAGAGTGTACGACTAAGACAAGATAGAGTGTACGACTAAGTCAAGATAGAGTGTACGACTAAGACAAGATAGAGTGTACGACTAAGATAAGACAGAGTGTACGACTAAGACAAGATAGAGTGTACGAATAAGACAAGATAGAGTGTACGACTAAGACAAGATAGAGTGTACGACTAAGACAAGACAGAGCGCGAGCTGGCGATCCACTGCAGCTAGCGTTCCTTGTGGAGACAGTACCTAGCTGATAGATGGAATCTCAAGTACTTAGCAGAAGTTAAAAAAAAGTACAGAGATGTAGAAACTGATTTTTTTTTTAAAATTAATAATTTATTTAAATAATTTATCAAAGCAATGTTTCCCCGTTGTAAATTTAAACAAAGGAAGACACACACCATAGATTGCACAATTTATTGACTGCCATATTTCTGCTGTTCTCGTAAGGTGCATACTAAAGTATACTTTGTAAACAGAAAGAGATGGTTTTGTCTTTACGGCTGAAATGGTAAAAACTAGCAGTTACGTTTTGATCGTTGTTGAAATTGAACTTCAATTATAAAGGATTCACTTATTTGCTTAATTTATGTAATTGTTACTTGAGTATGCACCTCATGAGATTCAGCGAAATATGCCAGGCAATAGATTGTGCAATCTTTTGTTTGTGTCTTCTTTGTTCAAATCTATAATTTATATGAAAACAGACAGCGTACAGAAGGTGTTACCGGCACCACGGCTCATCTTTGAACAAGTGAAATGCATTAATTGTCAGGTAGGCAACAGTGGCCCCTAGCACAGAGCCAAGTTGTGTGCTGGCTCCGGTCCACATCAGAGAAAGGCGACCTTGACTTCTCATGACACCGGCGATGGAAACTTTTGAGAAAACCATTAGCATAGTGCACAGGACCCAAGCCGTCACCTGTGAATCGACACAAACGTGTTGAAATCGACATACACGTGTTGAAATAAACATACTCGTGTTGAAATAGACATACACGTGTTGAAAAAGAAATACACGTGTTGAAAAAGACATATATGTGTTGAAATAGACATACACGTGTTGAAAAAGACATATATGTGTTGAAATAGACATACACGTGCTGAAAAAGACATATGTGTTGAAATAGACATACACGTGTTGAAAAAGTAATACACGTGTTGAAAAAGACATATATGTGTTGAAATAGACATACACGTGTTGAAATAGACATACATGTGTTGAAATAGACATGCACGTGTTGAAATAGACATACACGTGTTGAAAAAGACATATATGTGTTGAAATAGACATGCACGTGTTGAAATAGACATACACGTGTTGAAATAGACATACACGTGTTGAAATAGATATACACGTGTTGAAATAGACATACACGTGTTGAAATAGACATACACGTGTTGAAAGAGACATACAAGTAATGAAATAGACATACAAGTAATGAAATAGACATACAAGTAATGAAATAGACATACAAGTAATGAAATAGACATACAAGTAATGAAATAGACATACAAGTAATGAAATAGACATACAAGTAATGAAATAGACATACAAGTAATGAAATAGACATACAAGTAATGAAATAGACATACAAGTAATGAAATAGACATACAAGTGATGAAATAGACAGACAAGTGATGAAATAGACAGACAAGTGATGAAATAGACATACAAGTAATGAAATAGACATACAAGTAATGAAATAGACATACAAGTAATGAAATAGACATACAAGTAATGAAATAGACATACAAGTAATGAAATAGACATACAAGTAATGAAATAGACATACAAGTAATGAAATAGACATACAAGTAATGAAATAGACAAGTAATGAAATAGACATACAAGTGATGAAATAGACATACAAGTGATGAAATAGACAGACAAGTGATGAAATAGACAGACAAGTAATGAAATAGACAGACAAGTAATGAAATAGACATACAAGTAATGAAATAGACATACAAGTAATGAAATAGACATACAAGTAATGAAATAGACATACAAGTAATGAAATAGACAAGTAATGAAATAGACATACAAGTAATGAAATAGACATACAAGTGATGAAATAGACAGACAAGTGATGAAATAGACAGACAAGTGATGAAATAGACAGACAAGTGATGAAATAGACAGACAAGTAATGAAATAGACATACAAGTGATGAAATAGACAGACAAGTACTGAAATAGTCATACACATATCGAAATAGACATACACGTGTTGAAATAGACATACACATATCAAAATAGACATACACGTGTTGAAATTAGACATACACATATCGAAATAGATAGACAAGTTCTAAATTAGACAAACACATTTCCAAATAGACATACACGTGTTGAAATTGACATACAAGAGTTAAAATAGACATACAAGTTTTGAAATACACACGCGATATGGAATAGATGTACAAATATTAGAGTGGACATACAAGTGTTAAAAGAGACATACACATGTTGTAGTAGACACAAAACGTACATATGTTGAAATATACATACAATTGTTGAAAAAGATATACATATGTTGAAATATACATACAATTGTTGAAAAAGATACACACGTGTTGAAATATACATACAATTGTTGAAAAATATATACATATGTTGAAATATACATACAATTGTTGAAAAATATATACATATGTTGAAATATACATACAATTGTTGAAAAATATATACATATGTTGAAATATACATACAATTGTTGAAAAATATATACATATGTTGAAATATACATACAATTGTTGAAAAATATATACATATGTTGAAATATACATACAATTGTTGAAAAATATATACATATGTTGAAATACACATACAATTGATGAAAAAGATGAACAAGTGTTGAAATAATAAGGAGGAAGGGGGCTGCCAAGATATGTAGACATATCAGAATAATGAGAGAAAGGGGTTGGTTGCGTGGGTGGCCAGGTCTTGTATCCTGTCACCAAATGTGTATCTGTGCAATAGGATCGGGACTGAAAGCAGTCCAGCTGTAGGCACGAGTTGTTACTGTTACTAAAGGTAGTAAGGAGGTAGCACCAGCTGCAATAACTGCCGTGGCAGAGACAATAGTGGTTTTGTAACATTAGTAGTTGTAATGAAAAAAAAAAAATACACATACGCACAAACACACACACACTTAAGCCCGCATGCACACACGCACACACATACAAACGCACACACACAGAGATAAAAAGAGAGAGTGTAAAGATTGTACTACTTAATGTATCAATCAATCAATCAAGTGCCGTCTCCACAATGAAGGTTGGCTGCATTGGATCTGCCCTGTCTCTTGCCCTTGATGTACACTCACTAATACTGCTGTTCGTCCATCTCTTGATGTTATCCTCCCACTTGTAACGCTGTTTGCCTCTTGCTCGCCTACCTTGAACCTTTCCCTCTAAAATGATCTTTACAATACTGTTATGTCTTTTAATGTGACCAAAATATTTCACTTGTCTCTTTTTTTATTTCACCTAGCAACTCTTTTTTCATTCCCAATTTCCTCAGTACCTCTGTATTTGATAGCTTTTGTTTCCATGTATATCCACATCTCCAAAGAATTGATACGATACTTAATGTAAACATGTAATAAAAGAAGAAAACGCAAAGAAGGAAGAAGAATCAGAGAGTGAAAAAATGATCCAACAAAGAGGCAATTGAGAGGAAAATAAAGAATCAGAGGAAGAAGATAGATAAGAGAAAAAAAATGAAGAATCAGGCAAACTGCCAGAGGAAGAAGAGCTGTAATCCAGCTGTTGCTACTGTGAGCACTGTTGTATAAAAAAGTGTCTCACCACCAGCGCTCCACCAGCCAGATGGTCAACCAGGAAGCTACAGTCAGTACTGTTGTATAACAAAGTGACTCACCAGCAAAGGTCCACCAGCCAGATGGTCAACGAGGAATGGGTTCGGACTCATCGAGGCCACCACAATGATGTAGGCAGTAAACAGAGTCCCTAGCAATGTCAGTCCTGAAATGGCGCGTGTAGTTCGGGCTGTCACCCAAAACGTCAGAAACGAGGCAATTGGGTCAACTATGTTCTCCGCCTGCGTAAGTTTATTTTACACATTATACATAGATCATGTATATGTTCATATTAACCCCATAATCATATATGTTGTCATTTGGTTAACTACTCGTCTTGCAACGCTTCCCTTCGCCACTCCCGCCCCTGAGTAGCGCCCACAGACACTCCCTGAAAAAAAAACCTCTCACAGGTTCAGGTTTTCAATACGTTTAGTTTTGTTGAAGTCAGGACATATTCCAGTTTCCTTTTCTCAAATAAACGCAGATATCCTCTTTCTGGTGCTGGTACTGAGTTCTCATCCTGGATTAATTTGTTTCAACACAGTGTCCATGCATGTTTTATACGTCCATGGTTGTTTTGACATATCCTGTATAACAAAAAACATCTTTACAGCTTGCACATAACATTTATCCCGTCACTTAACTGTCCTTGATTCGCTTCCGTACACCACGATTGTTTCTATACAGCTGTCACGAAGCAAACTGAATTCTTATCCTTAGTTTGTTGTAGTAAGTGACTAAATAAAATGTCCTTAGGTTTGTTGTAGTGTAGGGTATTTCCGTTTGCAATATAGATTTTGTTTAATTCCGGGTATTCCCGTGTGCAATATAGGTGATGATAAGGATCATCATAATCTTGCATGTCTTATGTAGAACAACACTCTCATCACAGTCTACCTAGGAAAAAAAAAAAACTAGTTCTGTTACCAGCTATCCCGCCTCACGCTCACTTTCATACCCAAGGAGTCACTTATATCCCCTGCCCGTGTTCATGCTCGTCGGCCCCTGCCCATCCTTCCTTGGAGCATGTCTTCTGCTATTATTTTTGTCCCAGAATCCGCCGGGGCCCTTGGATATGACCAAAATATTAAGCTTCTGAGACAAGAACTTGGTCATTACGTAATATTCCTTGATGTTTCAATCTTTTAGTATGTCAGTATTTCTTTTCCTCTTTGCCCATGATGTTCTGATAAAAAATTTCTACAGCATTTTAGCTCAAAAGTCATTATTTTCTCTCCGAAGACTGCGAGATAGTCCACGACTCACATTCGTATGTTGCTAGAGTAAAGGTGGATGCTCTCCATGAACAAACCTCTGTTATATCCTTACTGGCGCAGGAATACATGTTGCATCTGGCCTGGTTTTTATCTGCTGCGAATGCCCTTAATATAAATTCTTTAGTGGCTTAGCAGGACTTCTTGAATGTCTTCTGTTGGTATGCCGCCCAGGGTGAAACTCTTTAAGTGTCTGTGTGATCAGACTTTCACGTAGCAGCCCAAAGAGGAAAACAGACAGACAGACAGAAGACAGGTCATACCTTTGTTGCTCCATGGTAAAACTGTAGACCATAGGGAAGGCTGGAGTAGACTTGTATGGCTAGGATAAAACTCGTCTGAAGGGCGTTAATCCAAACCAGCAAGCCTAGTAGATACCATGACTCCAGTTTAGTGATTTGTTTCCCCTTGTTGGTCATTTCCAGTTCACTTTTGTATTCTTCAACATCGTATTTGGATGCAGGTTTTTGGATGACAGCAGTGTCCCCCTCGCCATGGCTAGCTCCATTCTTCACCGTGTAGAAAGATGTTGTGTCGTCTTGTGTCGCATAAGGTCTGAGATTACCCGTCTCTTGTGGAGTCTGGTGAAATGCCAATGGAGGATTGGCGGTTTCATCTCGCGGAATGGGATCTGTTGACTGAAGCACTGTCGGTGTGTTGCTTGAGATGAGCGTGTCAGTTTTATTCCCATCTTCAGAGTAAACTGCTAGACTTAAATCGTTGCTTCTTTGTGACACTTGATGTGCGGAATGTGTGAATTCTTTTGTTTGCCCATTTTCAATATCCGGCTTGCTGTAGAAGCAGAAATTAGGTAACTATTTAAAACATCAATTTTTTTTTTTTTTTTTTTTTCACTTTCTTTGTTCATTAACTGTAAGCTCCTGCAGAAAGTCCTGGTTGTTCTCCCATTTAGAACCAGATTTTGTGTCAGGGCCTGAGTTTTTGCGTGTACATCCGTTTTACTGACTTGTTTGTGTGCAGTCAATTCAAGTGGCATTGTATCTAAAAAATATAACTCAAATGTTGTTAACAAACACCCAAATACAATGTATATCTCACAGTAGCGTGACTGTATTCAAGCTATCACAGAAACCTTGTGATTTCTGGTCATTTGTGTTGAGGTCATGGGTCGTCTTAGGGTCATGGGTCGTCTTAGGGTCATGGGTGTTGAGGTCATAGGTGATGAGGTCATGGGTGTTGAGGTCATAGTGTTGAGGTCATGGGTGTTGAGGTCATAGTGTTGAGGTCATGGGTGTTGAGGTCATAGTGTTGAGGTCATGGATGTTGAGGTCATAGTGTTGAGGTCATGGGTGTTGAGGTCATAGTGTTGAGGTCATGGGTGTTGAGGTCATAGTGTTGAGGTCATGGGTGTTGAGGTCATGGGTCTTGGGGTCATGTGTGTTGAGGTCATGGGTGTTGAGGTCATTGGGGTCATGGGTGTTGAGGTCATAGTGTTGAAGTCATGGGCTTTAGGTCATAGGTGTTGAGGTCATAGGTGTTGAGGTCATAGGTGTTGAGGTCATGGCTATTAAGCAGTTTGGTTTTTCTAAATGTGGTGCATGTATATGGGTGTATTTATGCATGTAAATGGGTGTATTTATGCATGTAAATGGGTGTATTTATGCATGTGAGTGTGTATGTGTGGTTGTGGGTGCCTGTATATGTGATTGTATGTGTGTGTATGCATGCATGCATGTGTAGGTGTGTATGTATGGAATGTGTGTGTGCATGTATGTCTATGTATGTATATGTGTGTGTTTTATGTTGTGCATGTAAGTCTATGTATATATGTGTGTGTTTTATGTGTGTGTATGTATGTAGATGCGTGTATGTATGTGTTACGTATGTCTGTATATGTATATGAGTGTGCATGTGTGAAAATGTAATAGTAGTGTGTGTGAGTGTGTACACCTGATGTGTGTATGCATTATTCCATAATGTATATTTCTTTATTACATACATAACATGCAATATTTATAACAGGCATTTGCACTCTGAAAAATGAGTGCTTAGAAGGGCCGAATGTCAGACGAGACTGCGTGCCCAATTTGTAACCCTTTGAAAATGAAGTTTGTTCGTTCGTTCGTTCTCTCTCTCTGGCACGAGCTGTATGTAAACTTGCTGTCTGTCTATCCGTCCGTCCTTCCGTCTGCCTGTCTGTCCCTCTCCCACTTTCTCTCTTTCATTATCATCTTGTCATTCCAATGAATGATCTTATCAACGACATTCACTCATTGTTCTGATGTGCTATTGTATGTCACACATGGCTCAGCTGCACACCCTGAACTAATTAATTCTGTGTTAGAACCGGTTTTTTTTTTTTTTTCTAGAATTTTACATATCAGCAGATGGCCAGCCCCTGTTTACACACACACACACACACACACACACACACACACACACACACTCTCACACACACATACACACACACATACACAGAGAGAGAGAGAGAGAGAGAGAGAGCTAGAGAGAGAGAGAGAGAGCGCGCGAAAGAGAGAGAGAAAGAACGACTGAGCCACGCGAAATAATATCTAACTCAGTAAGGCCTTTGACTCAAGTGTAAACACAACTATATCTCTAGAACAGTTTGTTTGGCCATTCTGCAAAATGGGGGAAACAGTTCTTGAATTATGTTGAGTAAAACAGATAACCGAGTCGAAAGAGTGCCCAGAATATACAGGAGTGTGAGGCAACAGAAGAGCAGATTTATTGTCTGGATACAAAAGCAATAGCTACAGTATGACTCACAACAAAAGAATGAAAACATTCTCAAAAACATTTATGAACAAATGCTGACGGATGGAAGATAAAGTGTTAGATGAAACAACTTGGGTAAGGTTGCTTGAATTCGGAATTAAGTGTGGATCTCGCAAGAAAGAACGTGTGAAAGGAAAAGAAAGAACATGCACAGAAGCAGTGTGCCCCAGAAATAACCAGCATTAAGAGATGAGCGGCAGGAGATGGGTATTCTTGATAGGCTTTACCGTTGATTGTTACAACAATGCTCACTAAACGTCTGCGTCTGTGGCTTAGGCGTTGCGAACGAGCTTCGTAATGCCGGGTTGCCGGGTTCGATTCCAGCTGCGGGCCTTGCGCCTTACATTGGTTTCGACAGTGGCATCGAAAATCCAACCGTCCAGAAGTCAATAGCAAACTACTGGAAAAAATGCTGGGGTTGGTTCTGTAACGTCCTATAAAGGATACACAACTAACCTAAAAAGCTAAGTAATCAGTACAGCAGAAATCCTCAACCTACCCGCCAGGCTGCATCAGTTGGCAGTTCTCTTCCTTGTCAGTGTCCACATGCTCACTCCTGCAGTAGGGATGGAAGACCAGGAGCAGGAACGAGGCCACGGAGACGAGGCCGATGCCAAAAAGTAACAGGAAGAATCCCTGGACAGAAAACGGAGGCTCCTCATTTACAGCGGTCATGATGTCTGTGTGGTTAGTGCTTGTCCCATTATAGTTGTCTGAAAACGTTATTATAAAGCTGTGACCAGATTTCGAATACCCCAGTAAAGCCTCTACCATTAGTTTATGAATATACAGCTTCTGTGTCGCAGGCAGACGGCATTTGAGCTTGAGATCTTAGGGCCTCAGTTCCAGTGCTGACGTAATGAACTGTGATCATCATAATTTTTTTGGGGCCCTATTACAGAAGAATTCCCTATACTTACTGAAGATTCCCCACAAGAGAGTCCAGCGGTCTTAAACGTTTGGCAAGTCGCTAGCAACAACAACAAATAACCTGACTATAAAATGGGCTTTGCATTCATCTGGGTCATTTATTGTCCAAGGCTGTAAATTTATTAGACATTTTTCATCTAACAAGAAGTTCCTCACAACAATTGATAGTATCATCTACCAAGATAAATTGTTTGGTTCCGTGTTAAGGATTCCGGAAATTTTTACCTTCCAGGATCTTCTGTTTGAACAACTAGTCCCCGCTATATTGTTTCAAGTCTTAATGGCATAAGAACATTAGATTCTCTACTCCCCCTCATTTTTTTTTTCAAATTACCAGTTGGACTGGCATTTCTAACTTAGCATAAGTGCAGATAATTGAACAATGACTATTAAGAGCACTGTATTACGTGGGAGCCGACGTGGTGTAGCGGCTAGACGCCTGCCTGTGGATCAAGAGATCCTGGGCTTCGGGTCCTGTTGGAATCAGGCTTTCTTCAAAATAATGACCTTAGCTCCTAGGTCGACCAAGCCTTGAGTGGGTGCCTGTGCATTCATGGGAAGTAAAGGCGGCCGGCGGGATGTTGAACACATTACCCGCAGAGTGTGGATTGGTCTGTAAAATATAGGTCTAGCCCTATGTGGATTATACGCCTGGAGAAGTGCAAAAAGGACCTTTACTTTTACTGTATTAGTTGACTGCACACAGTGCACAAAGAAACTTTACTTTTACTGTATTAGTTGACTGCACACAGTGCACAAAGGCCCTTTACTTTTACTGTGTTAGTTGACTGCACACAGTGCACAAAGGCCCTTTACTTTTACTGTATTAGTTGACTGCACACAGTGCAAAAAGAAAACTGTAATACATACAGGCCCTTTACTTTTTTGTAATTAGAGCACCCACAAAGATTGCCTTTGTTTCGTGAAACATAAGAAATGAATATATACATTTTTAATCATTGCCTTTGTTTCCTAATCATCTAGTATTCTACAGACTCCAGAAGTTTCAAGACGTCACCTCCCGAACTGGATCTTTCTAGACATTTCAAGACGTCATCTAAGGAACTCAACGTTTTCAGAAGTTACAGGATGGCATCTCAAAGGCTGCACCAATACCGTTGTGAACAATTGATCTATTGGAGTCCTGCAAGAATTCAGCATTCACCTGTGTGTGCACTGTCCCTGGGATCAGACGTGTCCAAGAATCGTCAGGTCACTGGCAAGTTTGACCGGCTCTAGCTTGCCCATGTCGACTCATTGATGGCTGACACAGAAAATCGACATAATGAAACTTTCAGTCACTACTGACGCACATAAAAAAGAAATCCTGAAGATTTAATGTTTGCTGTAAAATTATATCTTCTAAAAACGATATTAAGCGAAGAAGAAAGAAAGAAATAATGAAAGAAAGAACAAAAGAAATTATGTATTGTTTTATATTATGTGTTAGGACAGTCTTCTGATAATAAATTTGTCTCCTGTTTCCCAAGATTAACTTACAGCAAGAAATGTTCCCAGTCAGCATAGAAATCTACCTACAATATTTTATCAAAATGTTCTATATCTTCATGTACTGAAATTATTTTTATTATCCCTGTAAACAACGTTAGCACAGAAATAATTCTCCTTTCCTTTTGGAAAACTGTTTCTGCAAAAGTATACTATTTTTTTCTATGCCGTACTGGAAACATGGGTGTCACCGTGGCGGAGCGGCTAGACGCTCGCCGCGGATCGGAAGGTCGTGGGTTTGCTCCCTGGCAGAGTCTGCTTTTTTCAAATATGACCTTGACTCCAAGGTCGACCCTACCTTGAGTGGATACCGGGTGCAGTCCGGGGAAGTAGAGACGGCCGGCGGCTTACCACATCTTTAACCGATTGGTCTATAAAAATATAGGTCTTGCCTATATGCCCTATATGCCCTATACGCCTAATGGCGTGGAAAAGGGTCCTTTACTTTTTTTTTAAAATATTGGAAACATAACTTATCGCTCTTTGTTTCTAGGCATGCTTCAGTCCAGCAGTGTTTCTCTTTCATTGTCGCACGTTTTTGTCCTTCAGTAATCTTTCCTTCCAGATGACTTACATCAAAATTGCTCCCCATTCGCCCTAGGCAACTTTCTATGCATTTCCGTCCCTTTCCACGAAGACAGCTTTCTATAACAAAATGTCTTTGGTCTGAAAATCTTATATTATGAGTTTTCGCTTGAAACAGATGAGTCACACTGAGGATGATTCGTATAATGTGAAAGATTCAGAATTTCATCTCTCAGTTTTTATGATAGCTTCTTCTAGCACTGTCAAGTGACAATTACCTTTTGTAGATACAGAGCTGATCTCCTTCAGAAACTCACGGCTGCCGTTAAACATAGCAATACTTGAATTACTGGCGCTAATGCATCTGCAACATAAATAGATCATTGCATAATGTTAATATTCGATGTGACGGTTTTATCTTTCTTCTCACACTTTACCAGTCATGCAAGTTTCTTCATTCCTTAATTTATTGTCCTGATGTGCCTATGCACCTCATATAGACCTCTCATTCGATTCCTCTTTTGTTTTCCCTCCTGTACACGTTTCTCAAAATCTTGAATGAAATCTAGTCTAATACCTCTAATTTCTATAATCAATGTTCACAGTTGTGTTTCTATTGCACCTCTGTAGGCATTTAGTTCGGATCTGCGGAATCGATTATGTGATACACACATCTGTGGAGTAAATATCATAAATAGAGGCTATGTTTACAGTCAAGCCATACACGTGGAATCATATTCAAGGTGCATCCTAAAATTTCTTGTCACAGATATGAAGTTACAGCATCAGTCTTTTAGATCAATCAGTCTTACAGACATATCAGTCATATAGACACATCAGTCTTGTAGACCCATCAGTCTTATAGATCCATCAGTCTTGTAGACCCATCAGTCTTGTAGACCCATCAGTTTTGTAGACCCATCAGTCTTGTAGACCCATCAGTTTTATAAACCTATCAGTCTTATAGATCCATCAGTCTTATAGACCCATCGGTCTTATAGATCCATCAGTCGTCTTAAAGATCCATCAGTCTTATAGACCCATCAGTCTTAAAGATCCATCAGTCTTATAGACCCATCAGTTTTATAGACCCATCAGTCTTATATACCCACCAGTCTTATAGACACATGAGTCTTATAGAACCATCAGTCTTATAGACCCATCAGTCTTATAGATCCATCAGTCTTATAGACTCCATCAGTCTTATAGATCCTTCAGTCTTATAGATCCATCAGTCTTATAGACCTATCAGTTTTATAGACCCATCAGTCTTATAGATCCATCAGTCTTATAGACCCCTCAGTCTTATAAACCCATCAGTCTTATAGATCCATTAGTCTTGTAGACCCATTAGTTTTATAAACCTATCAGTCTTATAGACCCATCAGTCATATAGACCTATCAGTCTTATAGACCTATCAGTCTTATAGATCCATCAGTCTTATAGACTCATCAGTCTTATAGATCCATCAGTCTTATAGATCCATCAGTCTTATAGACCTATCAGTCTTATAGACCCATGAGTCTAATAGACCCATCAGTCTTATAGATCCATCAGTCTTATAGACCCATCAGCCTTATAGACACATCAGCCTTATAGACCCATCAGTCTTGTAGACCCATCAGTCTTATAGCCCCATCAGCCTTATAGACCCATCAGTCTTATAGACCCATCAGCCTTATAGACCCATCAGTCTTGTAGACCCATCAGTCTTATAGACCCATCAGTCTTGTAGACCCATCAGTCTTATAGACCCATCAGTCTTGTAGACCCATCAGTCTTATAGACCCATCAGTCTTATAGACCCATCAGCCTTATAGACCCATCAGTCTTATAGATACATCAGTCTTATAAATCCATATGGTTCCTGAATTCAGAGATGTAAAGAAGAGCTCTGCAACTAATTTTCTATGGAGCTATATTCATGGTGCAGTAATGTGTCCACAAGACGACACACCAATTTGTGGAGACTGAACAATCTGACAAGGCAGCCACATCAGTTAAGCTAGAAGCGTAGTCTCCAAGCTCACGTTTGTCTACCTAGCCACACTGTAGCAGTTTTGCTGTAGCATCAACTGTTCTATGATTATTATTTGTCTAAACTTATCGAAAAAGTAAAGTAAAAAGTAACAATCCTTTTTCACGCTTTAGACGCATGAGGCATATGGGAAGAGCACCCCATATTTTTTACAGACCAATCGGCACTAGGTGGATAATGTGGTCAACATTACGCCGGCCGTCTTAACTTTCCCAGGACAGCCATCCTGGTACCCATTTTAGGCTGGGTCGACCTGCGACGCCCTTAACGGTGGTGAAAACCCACGCAGGCAGCAGTGGGTTTCAATAGCGGTACGTTGGAATTACGAGTCAGACTCTCAACGCCTTAGCCACGGACGCCGCTTAATCATATCAATGGCATTTAGAAAGGTTTGAACTATCAGTGTGTGTCTTCTATTTCTCTCGCTACACCCGTCATCTTATCATGAGCACATCAATCAAGTTAGGAGCCCGAGCTTTGACAATCGGTCACCTGATCCTTGCTGGTGTCCATTGTCCATAGGGCTGCTTACAAGGCTGGGATGAGACACATCATTCTTAGAATCCCCATCCCAGTCGATGAAGATACTGGCCATATACCCTGGCCTTAAACCCATGGTCTTATGACCAATCAACGTATGCTATAGAATCAGTCTTATGCAAACCCATCATTGTCTTATAGACCAATCAGAGCAAAGAGAGCCATCGCTGATAGAGCAAGAAATCATCTTATAGATGTCATCAGTGTCATCTCATTACTCACATTTGGGAGCCATCATAGTGTAACATCTGATGTCTTATAGGTTCATCAATCTTAGATCCATCAGTCATTGTAGCCAAAAAAATTACTTTGACCCTCCAATCTTATAGACAACTCAGTCTTATAATAGGTACCAGGTATAGAATTCTGGGAATAAAGGCGGCCAGTCGTGATGCCAACCATCAGTCTTATAGACCCATCGAGTGCCAAAGGTCTATCAGTATTATAGACCCATCAGTCCTATATGCCCATCACGCCTGAAGATCCATCAGTCTTATAGACCCATCATTCACTTATATTTACATCAGTCTTATAGATCCATCAATCTTATACAACCCACAGTCTTATAGATCCCTCAGTCTTAATCAAAACCATCAGTCATTATAGACACATCAGTCTTACGTAGCCCATCAGTCTTGTAGACGGAGCAGTCTTGTAAACCCATCAGTCTTATAGACCCATCAGTCTTATAGAAGAAGTCTTGTAGAAAAATCAGTCTTCTAGACGCATCAGTCCTACATACATCTGTCTTATAAATCCATATGGACTATTCCGTCACACCAGAGATCAAAATATAGCTCTGACAACTAATTTTCTATGGAGCTCTATGCACTTGCAGTGATGTGCCACAAGACGAGAGACCAAGCCTGTGGAGACCGAACAATCTGTCAAGGCAGCCACATCTTGCAGCAGAAGTGTAGTCTCAAGCTCACGTTTGTCTACCTAGCCACACTGTAGCAGTTTTTGCTGTAGCATCAACTGTTCTATGATTATAATTTGTTCAAATCATCGAAAAATCAAAGTAAACAGATAACAATCCTTTTTCACGCTTTAGACACATGAGGCATATATAATAGCACCCCATATTTTTTTACAGACCAATTGGCACTAGGTGGATAAAATGGTCAGACTATTACGCCCGCCGTTTTAACTTCCCCAGGACAATCTCTCGTACCCATTTGAGGCTGGGTCTACCTGCGACGCCCTACACCACGAAAAAAAGCAGTGGGCAGCAGTGGTTCGATCGCGGTATGACACGAATTACGAGTCAGACTCTCAACGGGAAAGCTAACGGACGCCGCTTAAACATATCAATGGCATTTAGAAAGGTTTGAACTATCAGTGTGTGTCTTCTATCTCTCTCGCTACACCCGTCATCTTATCATGAGCAAGCACATCAATCAAGTTAGAAGCCTGGGCTGTGACAGAAACCCACCTGACCTTGCCTTGTCCTTGTCCAAGGGCAGCAAAGGCTGGGATGAGGCCACTAAAGCCCATTCACGGATGAAGATGAAAGATAAATATACCTAAACTTGAGATGGGCCATGAAGGAGATCTACAGCAGCTTGTTGCTGAAATATCCACTGGGGAAAGTCAAAGATAATGAGAATAAATCAGGCAAAGAAAACATAATGTTGAAGTTAATGGCATCCATTACTCCAACATTTGGGTCGTACAACTATTTAGTGTAACATCTGATGGTTGTAGATAAAGACTAACGGAACTGATAGAGATATTAAAATAAGAATGGCTCAAAAGGCAAGAGGGCCTTTCGTAGCACTAGGTTAATTTCTGGAGGTAAAAAAGAAATTAAAAGATATACCACATCATCCACCGAGTGCTTAAAGGTCTATATTCTATAGGTCAAATCAGTATATGTTTCGGGTGAATTCATGTAGAAAAGAGCATTTACTTAATTTAACTTAGAGACATGAATCATTAACTTCTAACAAGACAGAATAGAGGTTACTAACTTTGGTCAAATAGAATAATCTAAAAATAGAATTTGGGAAACGAACGTAAACATATCCAGTGGATCAGGAAGTGAGCAAATGTCACGCTGGCGTTGGATACATACGCTAGAAAACAAATGAACAGCAAAAAAAGTCTACTATGACCTACAACATCTGCTAAAATCAAAGACTATTTCGTCACACCAAGATCAAAATATACAAGAATAGCTGCTTTATATGGCTCTGAGACTTGGAGTGCAACGGACAGAGATGAAGCCTTTGATCACATTTATGAAAATAGAGTCTTGCAGCAAATCTGTGGACTAATCAAAGAGGCAAACACAAGGGTATGGAAAGTGAGAAGCAACAACGAAATTCATAATCTGTGTAAATCACTATTAATCATTGGTATCACACAGACCACCCTTTGCATGAAGCTCTGGGTGCAGTTAAGGGTCAGCGTCTGATAAGAGGGAAGTCGTTGATGGCTCAGGCAGAAGACACAATCAGACAGGTCTGCATCCTTGAGAATATTAGGCGAGAAGAGGAGTGGGTCAAAGTGCCACCTGATCAGTCAGACTTGTGTAGGGTCATAATCACGCTGAGCCGGGAATGCAGAGACTGGCCAGCAGGTGCCACAGAGGTGGAAATTCAGCAATCAATTCAAGATAATGCTTGCTCAGAAGATTTGATCATTTACACAGACGCTTCAATGTCAAGAGGCAAAAGAAGTGCTTGGGGTTTCTTAACAAAAGTTAATGATTGACAACATCCAGCTTAAGAATATAAGTGGAGGCGGTAACTGCAGCTTTCCGCTGGGTAGAGAACACGACACACACATCGTGATTGTAACTGACTCAGAAAGCAACCTGAGGAAGATCAGGACAGACATGCTTCGTGCGAAGTGGCATGCTTCGCTGTGGAAGACACGGGTGAGTAGTGTTGTCTGGATTTTTTCAACAGGGCACGCCAGTGTGTTGGAAAATGAACAGTCGAACAGAGTGGCTGGCTCTGCACAGCTTCTTGGAATATTGATGCATGATAAGGCAGATTTGATAAGTGCTTTGTGTGAGAGCTTGTACAGTTCGGAGGAGCAGATTGATCACCACAGTGTGAGAATTGATGCAGATATTGGGATGCAGATGCTGGGACTGCAAAATTAGTATCGGAACTCTTCGCTTTCTGCTGAAGATGCTTGAGCGCTTATGGGAATGGCGAGCGCTGATGAACGGTTTAATCAAATCAAATCAATGATCACTGGCACCATTAGTAATCGTGAAATGGCTCTTCGCTAGAATGCTGAACAGGGGCCAAGCGTTTATGGAGCTGAATGCTACCGAAGACGCTGTGATGTCTAGACAGACCTACAAACACTGGTGTTGAATCAAATCAAATGATCATTGGCATCATGAGGGTAAATAGACTGAAATGGCTGGCGCAAATTGAGAGAATATCAAATGACAGAGAGGTATAAGCTGTGAGCAAAAGAGAGAGAGAGAGATGGAGAGAAAAAGACCAAGAGAAGAGACGATTAGAGAGATAGAGAAGAGAGAGGTAGACAGACCTACAGAACACTTGGTGTCACCAGACTGGAGGAGAAGGCCAAGAGAGAGAGACTAGAGAGAGAGAGAGAGAGAGAGAGAGAGAGAGAGAGAGAGAGAGAGAGAGAGAGAGAGAGAGAAAGAGAGAGAGAGAGAGAGAGAGAGAGAGAGATGGACGGGTGATATCTCCTGCAGTGAACCCCAAGGGCTTGGAATGCTGAATAGGTAAAACAGAGATTTATCTGCTATGTCGTTAATTTACCGATCATTTACCATCTTCTGTCTCCCAACGGCAGCAAGGCTTTGGCTACCCTACAATAACACTGTTGTAAGGTTGAACCGGGTTTCTAGGATCTTCTCTTGTTTGGTTCTTGTTGTTATCCTATTGTCATAAATCTTGGATGGAAACATTTATTGACCTACATACTTTCACCTATGCTAGTCCTTACTCTTCTAAACTTTGCTGAAAGGTACCACATCAAGCGTTTTTAGTCCTTCCTCTTCTGTTCTGCACAATAGACACATTGCACAATTGTGACTAATCCGTCTTCTCTTACGTAAACTGCAGACACTTATAGTCTGTCTTAGTCTTTGTTTTGTGTCCTGCAATGTTGAAATATTACAACCTCTCTTCTTGTCATATGCAGATTTATTTCTGTATCAAGACAATCAGAACAATTTTTTAAAAAATCGTTACCTGTGCTCATCTCCTGCAACAATTGCAGTCTCCGCCCAGAAGAAAGCGTAAAGGAGAGCAGACAACGTCAAAGCAAGGACAACCATCAAGGATGCAGGTGTCTCAAGTTTCAGGTTAGGCTTACAGAAAGCAATCAGGGTAAAGAAAATAGGTCCAATGTTGCCAAACTGAAATGACAGAAGAACAATATCATTTTTAACAGTTATTAAAAACTTCGTTTCTTCAAAAAGATTCAGGAAAGCAGGGTAGCTGATGATCTGCCCCTATTCATGATCGTTTGGAAATATAACAAGTGGAAGGTAAGCTGTCACTGACCTAAAATGTAACTACAAACAAGACGGGAGATAATGACCCAGCAGATGTTGATCTCTTCAATGAGAGCTGTCATAAATAAAGGACCTTTTCCGCCCCTTCAGGCGAACTAGAGACCTGTATCTTTTGTAGACATATCGGCACTCGGTAAGTCCTGAGCATGGTTCCAGGGCATTGAACATTGATTACCAGGCCCCTGAGACAGGATTACCAGGCA